ATCATAAATATGGTTATGATCTACTTTTTTTAAATTTTAACATATTTAAATAAATTTTTTTTTGATAATATTTGAAATAAAGATTATATTATAGCAGTATTTAATTTTATATTATAAGAAAAAGTCTTAGTTACTTATAAGATAAAGGGTAAATTTATTTAAAGCAGGGTGTGGTATATCACATTGTGATACAGATCGGAGATTAGGAATATTAGCGATTGTATTACAATGATCACAACGGAGTTTAATCATGCAGGAGGTAAACAACTATAAAGGGAGACAATGCTTTTTTTTTTTTTTTTTTTTGCTAAAATATCCTTTACGTATGAATATACATAAACAATAAACAAAGATTTTTGTATGCCGTATAAAACAGTAAGTTAATTAAGAGCTTATATTTGTATGTAAGTAAATAATGATATGGTTTATTTTTGCAGAAAGTTTAAATACGTATACTTATTTTTACAAACCTCTTACTTGCATGTTTCAAGAAACTATTTAAAGGTAAATCTATGCTGCAAGATAAACCTGGGCTTGGTACATTGATGGAAGACAAACCTGTAGAGAATGAAACTATGAAAGATGAATATGTGAAAATTATATGCATGAAAACCAAGCATGTAGAAGGTGAAGCTTTCGAACCTTTGGAAGATAAGTCTAAAGAAGACGAACGTGTAGAAGTCAAACTTGTGAAAGATAAATCTGTGGAAGGTGGTGACGTGGAAGTTGAGCTTGTTGATATAGAAGGCGAAGTTAGTGAAGCTGTAGAAGGCGAAAATATGGAAGGTGATAATATGGAAAATAAAACTAGAGAAATTAATAAAGGTTAGTTTAATGTACTAATTAGAAAGTATAACAATATAGTGAATTATTAATACTTAGCTTTTTAAATGTTTTGAGGCTCTATATCTCTTGAAAGCAATAGCGAAATTAATATACCTGTTCTTGGGTTGGAGTTGGAAGGTTTTGACCTTACAAAGTATTATATAAATCAACCTATAGAATTATCTGTTGGAACACGATTTAATTCTTGGGCAATCGCAGAGCACTACTTAAAGAAGTATGGCCGCCAGAAAGGATTTGTGATAAACCGGTATAGAGTTGAATATCACAAATCTCATTTGACTCTGTTAAATGATTCTGTTAAAAAAAGAACATATGTATGTGAGAATGCTGGAAAGTATAAACCTAACAAGACAAAACCGATAGAGCAACAACGTAACAAAGGATCAAAAAAAAACTGACTATAAATAGCACGTTAACTTGAGTAACCTAGAAACTAGCAATTTTGTGCACATAACACTTGTATATCTTGAGCATAACTATAATATTAGTGCTGATAATCTGAGATTTGCTACAGCATTTCGAAAATTTGATGAGTCTATAATAAATGAAATTGAATGTGTGGTTGTATATGGCCATTGCGATGCTTATACTATAAGAAATTTATTACAGCCTTTGTTTCCTGGCCGACTTTTTCTTACGCGAGATTTATCAAATGCAATCCAAAAAATCAAGTGTGAAAAAAATGTTGTTGGATCTGATGCATTGCACTTACTAAAATTTCTACTTGAACAGCAAAAAGAAGATCCTACGATGTTCATTCAACCATTAATAAATACAGATAGTAATCGGCTAAGTAGTATTTTTTGGATGACAGCAAACCAAATTATGTTATGGTCTTGATATTCAGATGTCATTTTACATAACAATACTTCAAGAACCAATAAATACAATTTTCTTCTATCTTTATTCATTCTTATTGATAATGATGGTAAATCACGGTTAGCAGCACAAGTGTTTTTAAGCGATAAAACTCAAGAAAGCTATGAATAGGTCCTACAACAAACCTTGGATGCAACTGGTTCTGAGCCATGGGTTATAATGACAGACATGGATCTTGCAATAGATATGGCATGTCAAGTAAAATATATAAATTCTTATCATGTTCACTGTATCTGGCATATGTCTCAAAATTTGCCTAAACGGCTTAAGACAAAACTTGGAAGCGAAAATTTTAAAGAATTTATTTGTGATTTTTGGAAAGCATGGAATTCTTTAAGCATTGAAGTTTTTGAGTACTGATTTCAATCTTTACTAGAAAAGTATCCAAGTACCAACAAATATTTGAGTCATCCTATTTATTCAACACGGCATTCATGGGCTAAATCATTTATAAGTAGAATATTTACGGCAGGCATGCAATCTATCTCACGTGTTGAATCAATTAATGCTATTATTCATAAAGCAGTTGCTTCTAGCTCTAGTATGTCAGACGTAGTTGAAGCTTTAGAGCTTCGTATGCAAAGGGAAGAATTAAATAAAAGTTTTATGGAATGGAAGCACAAATCAATAAGTAATCATCAATCATTTATCATTGAGCGGCTTTTAGTATTGTTAATAATGTAATTCGAAAGTACTTCATACCAAGAATTGCTAAAGAAATTAACAAACAAATGTGTGAATCGGTACTATACAAATGTGAAAAGTTGGATATTGATCATGCTCTTGAAGATCAATTATATTCGGATGAAAATAAACTAATTAATAGTTAGAAGGCAAGTTTTTTTTTTTTTTTTTTTTTTTTTGTGCATTACAATTAGTTATAATGTAAGGATTTCTATGCGTATTAGAATCAGAGTCACGAAGAAATAACAGAAAACATTAAAGATTTTTATGATTATCGGCAAACGTGTTTAAAAGAACTTTTAAAATCAGTCTCAAAAGAGGCAATTAAAGAAGTCTGGAAGGTTATTCCATACATGGTATCAAATTCGTATCAGCATATTGTTATGCTTAATGACGGTACACATTTGTGCACATGTCTATTGTTAGTTTCACACGGAGTTATTTGCCACCACTATTTCAAGTTAATGGTAGAGAATGTGAATGCATTATTTCACGTTATGTTAATGCCAACAAGATGGTTACATGATGATACTTGAAGATGTGTTGATTTAATATATGATGAGCCATTTATTAGCACATCATCTCTGCAACATCAAGGTGATAATAATACACAAAAACTTATTCCCAGACATTATTATAACATTCAAGAAGTTCAGGTCTGAAACCGTCTACAAAAAAAAATAGATTATGGTCATTTAATGGGTCATTTTAAGAAAGCATTAAGCTACTCAATAGAAAATAATGATCAAAATGCTTTGGATGAACTTATCTTAGACTACATTGCTAAAAAAGAAAAAATTCGAAATGTTCAAACTCAACTAGTGTCTGTTGAAGAAAGTCAAGCTTATGATGATATTAAAGATCCAGTAGTGCGCAAGGGTAAAGGTAGACATCCAAATAAACGGTTGAAAGCTTTTAATGAAGAAACAAATAAGATTAGTAGTAATAAAAAACAACAGGATACTGCTGATAGTGATAGTAAAACTAGACGTAGATGTAGATTATGTCATAAATTAGGACATTATGCTCCTAAATGCCCTAATAAGGAAAATGCAATATAAATAGATTTATTTGTATTGTCGGTGTTGTGCCTAAATTGCAAATTTGAAATATTTTTTACCTAGAGAAATTTAGTTTGACATATGCGTAAGTTGCTTAGTTAATTAGAAGTCTACTATAATGGCTAGGCTGTTCAGTTAACTAGTATTAGTGTTTTATTTTTAATTTTTCTTTTGACTATCCAATCCAAAGATAAGCATCATGCATCCATCAGTGCATGGTGCTTAATTGTTATATAATTAATCTTATAGAAATGACCAATATTATAATATGTGACAATTAAGCACCATATACCGGTAAGGCGCATGATGCCAATTATACATATAATTTACTTGAAAGACTAATTCAAACGTGTTGTAATATAAGTTGTTCTTAGATCTTCTTCGCTAAATCTTAAATATTGACTATTATTATTAACAATCTATTTAACTTTAAGCGGCCTAATGTTAAACAAACTGCTCTTGACTTGTATTATTTATTATGGTCT